ATACCGCTCATACGAGATCCGGCTTGTGAATACCTCTACTTATGCTACAAATTTACTAATTTGCTGGATCCTACTTTTGAAATGACCAACTTTTTTAGTGATTTAATATTCAAACGACATTAAGTGTCGGCTGCTATTCATGTTTTTGATTTGCCTTTCTTCTAATTATTAATACGAATTTATTCTGATTTAATTTGTTTTCCTACCAAATGATGATGGCCATCATAAATTTATTGTAATTATTCTTTAAGAAAAACCCCTTCTCTTAATTGATCGTACTTTTTAATATATTCATGGCCTTGCACATTTACTAAAAATCAACGTTTTTGTATTGTATTTATATTTAAACTATACACTTCCCTGGTTATGACACAGTGCGCTCTTGGCGATGAGTAGATAATACGTCCAATCCTGTCGAAGTCCTCCTTCCTCCATTTCTTGCTATTCCACACTCTGTCCTTATTAGCACATGTTTTTAAAATCGTCTGCGTCCTACTCCACCTGCTTGCTGATTAATATTAGTTTTAAACTTTCACGAATAACATTTTCGTCTAATCATGGTCTGTTCTCCGCTGAAATTATCACTAACAAATGTGTTACAGTTCACGGTGCCGCATCGCACCTCTACCAAATCTAGACGAGTTCTGATGATTTTTTTTTCACTTTGCAACTCTACTTGCTTTTGCTTTTCACTTGTTCACTTTGTTTCTGGTCACCCCTATGCTAGTTTTTCCTATGAAACTATACCGTCAGAGTTTTCTTGACTACTGTAACACTGTATCTTTAATCAAATGTTATTTATTAAATATTTTACTAGTATTTTCAATATACGCGCGAAATTATTTTTCATTACCAAGCCTTAAGATCCCAACGTCTCGTTTCTGTTCATATTTTCTTATATTTCTCATTTGTACCCATGATGTTTTATCAATATTATTTTAATTTTATAAACAAAATATCCTAAATGTATTTTGACCCATTTCAATACGCGTAGTGTCTAAGACGGCACGAGTAACTGATTTCGCTTACGAGATTTTAGCAGTAAAGATCAAATGTAGGAGTAATGATAGTTGAGTGTAGTAGTTCATTTAGCTCTAGCCTCAAATAGTAACATTGTGCCTCAAAAACGCAATTTTTAGAGCTAGAGCATTTTTGAAATTTGTCACAGGCAAATTCTACTAATCCTGCTTTGCAAATAATTAAGAATTTCAATTATAAATCTACATTTGCATGACAATCGAATTTAGAAATGCCATATTTTACGTAGCCAAAGTCTTCATAACTCCAAAACATTTTAGCAATATTATTTCAGACCGTAAATAATAATAAATGTGTACATTCAAGTTGTCTCTCTGAGGTGTCATTCAAATGAACCATTTTTCATGGTTTCTTTTGTTTAACAAGAAGTACAGTCAATGATGTAAGAATTATGTAATTGAAGTTAATGTATAACATGCCACACACTACAATCTGTTACACTGTGTTGAGAATAAATTTCATTTTTCATTGATATTCACTTAATGAGAAGTATTAACCGGCGATTTGTCGTTTTACCTAAAGGAGAGAATTTAACGGATTTGATGAGTATTTTTCTTTTTTTTTCTTTTTTTTTCTCTCATTCTATTCACAAAATGAATTTCAACACGCCTTACATATAATCAACTAGATCTTATGTTGGTTCACATAAAAAACTCTGTACCCGAACACGGGTTATCTCGAGCATGTCACAGAAAGATCAGAGATTCAAGAACCTTATCTAAATAAACATTTTCTCGTAGAATCTTAAATTCTCATAAATAATTGTTTTGAAATGTCCTTTTATTAAGGAGGCTGGGGAGATTCTTAACATAAGAGTTAAGCTCTCTTATTTTTCTATCTGTAAACAAGAGTTCAAACACAGGCCAGTCACCTGGAATTTTTGCTGGTAAAATCGAGCTCTTGTCCACTGTCCGGAGGATACTTTAGCTCTCTCCACTCTACCTCGTATTCCTTACTAGGAAAATACGATAGTCGCAATATCTAGCATCAGAACTACCGGTTTGTGAACATTTTTAACCTCTATCCCTTGAGTGTTAACAATAACAGGTCACAGGCATGATAAAATATTATTTCGTGTTGCTTGATTCTCACATTCTCAAATTCAGAGACCAAACGAATCCCATTCCTCCTTGGCCCGAAATTGGCAATTAAATATCACAATGAATTAAAAAATGTGTCAATCAGTACATTATGGAGCAATCGTATTAAAACCTGAATTACAAATGTATCAAAATATGAGTTACAAATTTTTAAGGCATGCAGAGGAGTCAAAATGGCCCCTTTTTGTCAATGATTTTGTAGTTGGAATTGTAACGGAAATATTTCACTAGAGATACTTGCCCCTGAATATCATGCAACCCAGTATGCACAGACGTTGAGCAGTTCGTACATGGAATATCCGTGACTGTGTCAGAACGTGTTTTGCCGAACATCTGGGCATGAAGAATTGCTTGAAAATCGAGGCGTGTGTGATATGTGTCATTTCATTTTGTAAAACTTCTTATTACGTCTTGTTTGGCGAAACGTTAACATTTTGAACCCCTCTACATGCCAAGGAAATTTTAATATTTTATTTTATAAAATTATATTTTATATCTATATATATATATATAATTTAATTAATTTTAATAAACTTGGAGTTAACTATTTTCAACATTGTTGTGCAATAATAATAATAATAATAATAATAATAATAATAATAATAATAATAAAGTCGGCTCCGTGGCGCAGACGGTTGCGGCAGCAGTCATCTGCGATGAGGAGGCTGCAGGATCGAGTCCTGCGTAGACATGGTCGTATTTGTGATCGCCTGTTCACCCTTCATCCGATCATCTCATAACTCACCCTTCAAGGCGTAACAACTTTCTGGTACCGAGGAATACTGAAAAGTTGATCATGGGAAAAGTATACACGTTAATCGTGTCGTGATCAGTAATGGCCTGTAATAGTGAATAATAGTAATAATAATAATAATTATAATATTAATAATAATTATAATAATAGTAATGCTGCTTATCAAAAATTCCTGTGGTTGTAGCTTTTTCCGATTACAATACTGAAAATAAAGTACCAAAGAAACTAATATACCAACAAAACACATTAGCAAGTACGACACGTGCCCATAACATCATTTTGTAGTCGCACGATCAGTAAGTAATAAGGAAACTGCGAGCGCGCCGAGGAGGGCGTGTGTGCTGGAGCGCGGGGCGGCTGCTTCCAGGCGGGACGGCGCTGCCCCCCTTGGAGCGGCCCAAGGGCAAGGGCGGCAGGCGGAAGCGGAAGCGGCTCCAGCAGCACAGCCAGGCGCAGCAGCAGGACCTCATCTCGCTCGCGGAGAAGGGAAGGTAAGCGCCCTCCACATCCACACACACACGCACACAGCGCACAGCGGCACACACCACGCACCACCGCGCACCACACAGCGCACACACGCGCACCACGCCGCACACACGCGCCACAGCGCGCACACACGGCACACGCGCCACACGCGCAACACCGCGCACACGCGCGCACACGCGCGCACACGACGCGCACACCCAGCGGCACACCGCGCACACGCCGCGACACGCGCGCACACCGCGCGCAAGCGCGCACGCACACGCGCGCACACGCGCGCACACACCGCGCCACACGCGCGCACACGCGCGCACACGCGCCGCACGCGGCACACGCGCGCACACGGCGCCACGCGGGCACCACGCGCGCAACGCGCGCACACGCACACACACGTGCGCACACGCACACACGCGCGCACACACACACACGCGCACATGCGCGCACGCGCGCACACACACGCGCGCACAAACGCGCACAAACGCGCACACAGACATCGGGCAGTGGTGCGCGTTATTTCAAAACGCACGTCTCGTGAATGCGTTGTGTTGCAGAAGCGTTAGACGAGAAGGAGGAAGTTGACTTCTAGTGGTGCTTTTAGGAGCATTAATTTCTGATTGTTTAATCATACGTGTATTAAGTTTATATATAAAAATCCCAAGCTTTGACTAACATGCACAACACGACTACACATACCGAGAGATCGGCCGGGAGCTTAGAGCTTGTCCCCGGCTGGGGCGGTGCCCCGCTGGTGGGAGATCTCACCAAATATCACCAGACAGCGGAGGAAAGATCACCGTTACCTCCTAGCACGAAATATGCACTACACTTATGGGACTAAAGACCTTAGTCGTTAACGCGCTCGTATTCAGTAACAATCTATCCGAGTATTGATTATCTTATTTGAACTCAAATGAGCTTTTAAACAACTAGTTTGAAACGTGTTTCAAAAACGCTTCTGACTTTAAAAGTGTAGAAAAATTTTAATTAGAAAGGTCGTGAGTTAGAGACGCGGTGGAACGACGCAATGCTGTGGACTATCAGATCACGTGTGCGGGTCAACTGTCAGATATGCTAATTGCTCGCGATACTGATTAGAATTCATCTCGCGCGCAGGGAATGGTTGTCGTAAGAAATACGTTAAAACATTTCAAAGTAGATTCAAATATCAAAAATTCCAGCGCTGATCTTTTATATTAATAGTGCCTATTATTGACTATTAGCAGATGTATTATATGTGCCCCTTGCCGAAAGTTAAGATCTACTTGTATTTTTAAGTTATTTTTAAAATATGTTACTTAATTCACATTTAGATTCGTTTAAGTAACGCAACTACAACTGTACCCATTTGGGGGCTATTTGTATATAGTTATATACCGCTATCTTATAGTGTATAAAATTAACTCTGGTGTAGGTTGAGAATGTCAAGAAGAAACGTCTTTTCTGATATGAAGTTCGACTGACAAATATGCATTGAAAGAAACGCAACGTTAACATCCAAGACGAAACAATTAAATATGAGCATATATTTATATTGAAAACAAAACATGAATATTTTTCCAACAATAAATTGTTAATAAAGCTGTGTCACTTCATTGTGAATGCGCTGCTAAAAAGGGCGCGCTTTGATGGCGAATGTCTGCGCCGAGGCAAGGAGTACGAGAAAGCGCGCGCTACTGTGGCAGGTGGGCAGCTCCAGCGCGTCCTCCTCGTGCTCCACCACCTCTGGCGACGACGAAGGGCACGGGGGCGGGAAGGCGCTGCGGCACCGCGGCGCCGACGCCACCTACAAGCTGCTGTGCTCCGTGGACGCCCTGGAGGAGACGCCGGCGGTGGCGGGCCCCGCGCCCCGCTCCTTCGCCACGCACGCCCACGCACACGCCCACGGGCACGCGCACCCGCTCGCCCACCACTCCTCGCAGGTAAGCGCGCCCCCGGCGCTCGGCGGCCGCTTCCCTCTAACCCGACCCGCTTCCCTCTAACCCGACCCGCTTTCCTCTAGCCCGACCCGCTTTCCTCTAACACGACGCGATTTGTTCCATTCTAACCCGTTCCGCTCTTACCAGTGTCTCATCACTTAAATCATTTCTCTCCCCTACCTCGTAAGACCTTGCCCAGTTTCCCCGCACCCCGCGTCATCTCGTCTCCCTCTCCTTGAAGTACCCGAGTACCGGATATTCGCCTCGCATTTCCTACTATTCCCATCCTCCTTCCGGAGTCTCGGTTTTCTTTTTTTTATATCTTGTATTAACTTCCTCCTGCCTCTTTTGGTCTCGAAAACCTTCTCGCACATTCGCAATGCGAAGATAGAAGTAACCGAAAATAGTTCAAGAAAATGTTTCTGTCAATGGATCTACTAACTCAAACTTTCGTAATTAGTGAACATTCTGTCATGCAATTCGTGCCCGAATGAATTCGGCCAAATGTTCATAAACGCACTAGTTAAACATCAACACACAATTTCCGAATTGTGATTTTCATTAGCTCTGAACGGGTCTCTTCTCTTAATGATAACGGAAACAAAACATAACACCGTAACTTGCGATAGTGAAATTTAAGTTGGCTCGCTCGTTTTCATTGATAACATTTGTGCCTTCTTTCACCTGCGTACATTCTAATTACTAGCAATTTGAAGGTGCTTTTTTTGTACAACAGACTATGCAATATAAAACAATGTAACAAACAAATAATAATAATAATAATAATAATAATAATATAATAAATTATACATTTTTTTGTTTGCCATCGTTCAGTATAATGATGGAATTTTTATTAAATCAAGAATCGTGATGTTTCTCCGGGCATCACGCTTGAAAATCTTCGAACGACTATTTTACCTATCTTGGCTGTTATTGGCTACACGTGTTATATACTTGGATATTATTTTATATACAAAATATTATTAAATTTCCAAGTATAATATTTTTCTTGTATAAACCGACTGAACGTTTAAAGACAAAACATGGACATTTCTATTTAGACTTATCTGACTAAGACAATATCAGTTAGTGTAAATGGCGAGCACTGTATTACCTAGAATGCGAGTTGTGTGATGCACTGTTTTCTGTTAGTGTTCATCACTTTAGAGTTGCGCACTTTGTACAGCAGCACAATTTGCTGTAGATTTGGCTGGGTAGAACTGAGTGTAATTTTTTCCTACAAAACTTATTTTCTGTATATAGTACATTCGCAAAGTGTGTTGTAAGAAAGAGGTGCAGATCACTGGTAAGTGTTTGACATTCTTTCTTTATTATCAAAACTAGATAATTGAATGTTAAAGGAAAATTTTATTTTAACAATTCAAAGATATTTTTTCTGGGATATTTACTTCGAAAGATGGAGTGTCTTGGGGTATACATTGGAAACATGTTTCTACCTTTTGTGAAAACTATTGGGAAGAACACACTGCAATCAAAATGCTTTTCAGAATAGATACTATTTTTCTTGGCCTATTATAGACTAACAAATATTATTTTCGTTTCTTGATAAAATAGGTTTCAAATATTCTTGCTAATAATGTAAATCGATCATACATAAATATGGATCATTAAAACCTAAAGTAGGAAAATGAATAATCATGCAACATTTACCCAGAAGTTCACATTACATTCTTGTACACTGTAATACTGTATGTGAATTTAAAGCTACAGGGAAGAGCAGTAGCAAAGGAAAGGCTTCGTTCCAGTTCGACGTAACTGGCAATTAACTTTCCGTCCATTCCGGAAAATTGCTTTTTCTGGAGTTCAAAGGTCGCAGTAAATGACCATGTCCTTTTATTCTGACATAGATTAATTACAATGCGTAACGAGACACAATACGAGTAATAGATATGTACTCTTAAGCTAAAAAACTGCATCTATTTCATTTTAAAACACTTAATTCTATCATCAAAATGTTTTACAAGTTATTTATCAGAATTTCAATGTATTTTCTGTCATTTAAGTCAATGTTATCGATTTTCATTTTAAAATTGGAATATTATATTCTAAGCTTGGAAACGAAGTTCTAATACAAGTATATTCTAATTTAATAATTCTACCTTCACCGCTTCTACTTTTCTCTTATTATTTTTCTATTCTTTCCTACTGCCTCATTCTTTCTTTTCTGCACTGATTTCCTTTCTCTCCTTTCTTGATCTTCCATATCATTCTCTTGGTCTCCCAGTATAATGCCTCATCCTCATCAAATAATCTTATTTCTTTCCTTCTCTTTACGTTTAATTCATTATAACTTCTAAATAAATATAATTAATATAACTATAATCCAATGAAATTATTGAACCTATGGCATATTATGGATGGGTATCATAACTTTGTCATTACGAGACAAGCAAACCGTGATTAGTTGAAGTTTACGCATATTATGTATATTTTTTGACAACCTAAAATCTATTTTGAAAATAAATCATGAAACGGAGTAAATAGAAAAGTCCCAAGGCGAGAGGTGGGACGCGGCTCTTGTGACCGCAGCTGCCGTCTCCACAGCCACCGCCTGTCCCGGGCCACGCCCCCTTGGCGGCTTCACGAGCACCACCCCCGCCGCTGCAGCCGCCCCCGCCGCCCGCGCAGCCCCTTCCGGTGCTCCCGCCGCCCCCGCAGCAGCAGCACCACCACCAACAGCTCCAGCAGCACCAGCAACATCAACACCAACAACATCAGCAACACCAACATCAACACCAACAGCAGCAACACCAACAAAACCATGAAGCCAGCAGTCAGGATGTGAGTAAAGCACTGGATTTTGCAACTTCACTGTTTTGTGGTGGACAATGTTACATGCGTATCTGCTTTGTGTTGTATTTGTCTGAGTGAATTGTATTTGAGAGCTTTTGCACAGCGTTAAGCACTATATCGTTTACAATATGAACTAAATGTTAAATCTTGAGAAACTCGTACGATCGCGTTCGTATCTTGATATAAGACACGTCATCACGGTTTAAAGGATTTGTTCACTAACTGTGACAGAAACATGTGCAGCTAACTCTACATTTTCATGATGCAACATAATATTTGTAAACGGCTCTTGTCTAGCGAATACAAATGCTGATAGGGTATTGTCAGAATTTCGCGTTGGCAGGAAACTCTACCGTCATAGTCCTAAACTACGCTCATATTGTAGAACGACACACTTGCAAATCGCTTTTAACACTTCAAACGATACACATCCCGTGATTACTTTAAACATACATCATTTGCGTTACCTTATGCATAATCTCTTATTTGTTCTAAATGATTTGGTGGGAATTTGTTACAGTTAAAACAGTGTATACATTTTATGTTTACACATAGTTTTTTTTATTTTACACATAGTTTTTTTACTACACCGAATAAATTTACGTCTAAAGACGTTCCACTCAATGCAGTGTTTACTCAATTTTTAGTTTTGGGGTGAGAAATTCTCTCCCTGAGAATATATTTTTGCTTCTTTTAGTCTTCTTTTTTAATGTAATTCACGCTTCATGGCATGCATGTCTCGCATTTACAAAGCACATTGTTCCGCTTATTTTACTTCATTATATTCTTTCCTTGTCACGCGTTTTGATCACAAGACTAATGTGAAGGATGTTATAAGGCTTTTAATATTTTTGCCACAATTATGTTTATGAATATTTTATTAACTACTACTCACACGACAAAAGACGCAACTGCTTTACCTTTTTCACATTTCAGAGTAAAGTGAAACATATTAAAATATTCTTTCGAAACGAACATCCACGAACACCACAATTTTTTTAAACTTTAATCTTCATTTTTTTCTGTTTCTTTTAAGGAAAGTAATGAATTGGTCATAATCGAATTCATGATACTAGTTTGGATGTTTAAGAGGAGTTCCTGGCGATTCTTACACGCGTTTCGAGAACAATTTCTTCATAATACTCCTAACGTTTGTGGGTTGATCGATGCAGGTTTCGTTGAGAAAAATGTTAAAGATGTGCTTTTTGTATTTGGCAATAAATAATTTTTAAGTTTTGTTGAAGAATCATGGATATTTTTTTGAAATATTCAATCCAACTTTTTGGGTCTCTAAACCCTGAAAAAATTATATTTTGTTATATTGTTTGTCATATTGTTGTACACATTTAGTATGTTTGTAAATCTTTGTGGTAAAATTTTCCTTTTAATTATATTCCGATACGTTATTTGTACAAGATAAACTGCAGGTTTGCGTACTCAATTGTCCTATAGTTACATATTTGAACGGAGGAAAATAAGAGATGAAGTGCTGGTGTATAAAATAATTTATCACATTGCATCTAAATTTACAGAGTTCTCGCCGGTATCACGTACTCCATTGAGACGTAGCCACTTACGTTACGACCATATGGTGACAATCATGATGCTTCGTTTTTTTATAGAGAATTTACAAGTAAACGTCTTCTAAGATACTCTGAACTATTCTTTCTCTTTATTTTATTATGATAATTAGTTTGTTATTATAGTTTAATTATTTGATAATGGAGGAATCATTTATTGAGAATCTGAAGGGAAAAGGGAAAAAGGTCATCGGATATTTTGAGACGTAATAATTTCTAATTTCAAGTTTAATTTAAAAGTTTAGAGCTACTGCCATGTATTGTCCTTGTTATTTATTACTATTATTGATATTATATTTAATACTTCCCAATAATCGAATGTCTCCGACTGGAGTGTCCCAATGTCAGTGAGATGAACCGACACTCCAGCAGGAGTCACTCGCGGAAGGAGTGTGGGGCGAGTGGTGAACGGGTCCGGCTGACGTGCGCAGTGCGTGGTGGTGCTGCCCCAGGAGCAGCTGTTCGGCGTGGCGACGTCGTCGTCGTCATCGGCGGCGGCGGCGGCGGCGGCGGCGGCGAGCGAGCTGGGCTCGGCGTCGGCGCTGAGCGGGGGCGGGGGCGTGGACGTGGACGTGGGCGGCGGGTGCGCGTTCGACGCCGAGGCGGCGC